CAAGAAACTTTGAGTGAGTATAGTCACGACAATCTTGACTGCAGCAGCACTACGACATCACAGGTCTCTGTTTTGTTTGCCTCAGAGCAACGTTACTAAAACACTCAGTTGGGAAACTCGCAGTCGAAACCTGGGCCGCTGGCGTCCACCGAGACCAAGCTAAATGCGACAACAGCGCCACCCATTATCATTTGTCTGTACTGTGGTCACTCTGAGGTTTTTGAAAGCCTGTTTTTGCGTAAAAACAAACGAAAAAGACTCTTTTTGTATGAAATTTATTGGAGTTTAGTACCAAATGATGGGCGCGTGATGTTTTTATCATCTTTAGTTCGCAAGGTTTTGCGGAACAATTAATATTGTTTTTATAAAACCATGCCTCAGCCGGCCTTTCAGGTAGCGCGTCCCGACCTAGGTGCATTTGAACTTCAGTAGTTCGACGCGGCGCGTCCGCCGGGGGGTCGGGGGTGACCCCTGTCTAAGCCAAAAATAGAAGTCACGCGCAGTTTCTCGAGTGGCCGCTGCGGGAGAAACGGCGTTGTGTTCGTCCTTAGCTCGATGCTCGGAGACAAGTTGGGGCCATATGTTTAGGGCTGCGTAACCCAAACACTGTCACAGCACTCATACCCAATCTCGCTGTGAGGATGGTATGAAAGTGATCTGGGGGCCTTGCCTATCTAGGTGGTACTGTCTCGGGATGCTAACCTTTTGTGAACAGGAATTGCATGGCACCCGTATCTGCTGGTTTACGTAGGTCGACCTGTGTCTATAGTCGGGTTGACCTGTGTCTACAGTCAGGTCGACCCGTGTCGTAGGTCGGGTTGACCCGTGTCTACAGTCGGGTCAACCCATGTCTACAGTCAGGTCGACCAGTGTCTACGGTCAGGTCAACCCATGTCTACGGTCGGGTCGACCCGTGTCTACGGTCGGGTCGACCCGCGTCTACGGTCGGGTCGACCCGTGTCTACGGTCGGGTCGACCCGTGTCTACGGTCGGGTCGACCCGTGTCTACGGTCGGGTCAACCCAACCACAAACAGCATGGTTCAGTCGGGTCGACCCGACCCGACTGAATACGGGACCTGTATGTCCATAACACCATATGACCCAAACGGGTAGGACCCGTACTAAAAGTATACGGTTTTTTTCAGCAGGGGTATATATAATCAACGGATAGTTATTGCACGATCAGTTAAAAGTTTTGCAGCAACTGCTTTCAGTTTAGTGTCCAGGCACACCTCCACACAAGGAGTTGATCTTGGGACTATTATGACAACGCCACCAGAAGCGTGGGAGTGGGATCCATATGGCCTATCCTCCCGGAATAGTGGGAAGCGCTTTAGTAAGTTTGAGTGGCTTTCATTCAGGTACGTCTCCTGAAGGCAAAGAGCTATGGGGTTGGGTTTCTTAAACAAATTGTAGACATCATCGTAGTTACAGAATAGTCCTGGAAAATTCCACTTTGTGATGCTCATAAGATTAGCCTAGCTAATAATGGCTCTTGGCTATCTTAACTGCATTAGGGAGTCACGCATAAATTGTTGTTGTGGTTGTGCAGGAGAATGAAAAGCGTTGCTCCTATAGGGTTTTATCAGGGTGGAGTGACTGGCTTTTTAGCTTTTTACTTCGGGGTCTGAACCTCCATCTCCTCGAAGTCAGTGTCAGGGGCAGAAACTTCTTCACCGTCTGCCGTTGCTTCTGTATTCGACGTCTTCTTGTCAGAAAGCCTGTCAGAAGACCTCGAATAGTCGGTGTTTTTTGGGGGCAGACCCCGGACTTTGCCTAACATTTTAGGGCGAGTGGTCGACGTGCTAGGCCGAACCACCCCTCTGTCTCTCTGGTCAGGTTCTGCAGACGCTGTAGGAGCTGCACGTGGAATGTGCTGTTTCCTTGGTGAGGTAGTCCTCTTCTGAGAGGAGGAGCGGGGGGCTCGCTCCTCTTGGGAGGACGACCTGCGAGGAGTGGGTGATGGATTTACATCCATCGCCTCTGTTGCACCCCACCCTTTGTCATGACTGGGTGCCCTAGCTGCTGTCGCAGCCGTGAGGGAGTGCCCAGGAAGAGAGAGCTTCAACCTGGACGTCGAGGACTGGAGCGGTTTTCCAGGGTTCCAAAGGGACACCTGGGTCGCCACTGATACCTTAGGCGGTGCAGGTCCTCTGCTGGACACCGCCTTGGCATAAGAGCCTCTCTGAAAACCGGAGAGGCGACGCCTTGCATCATGATAGGATATGTTTTCTTTCACCTTAAGTGCGAGAATTTATATTTCCTTTTTAAATTGGTCACATGTTCTGGAAGGGGCAGGGTGGTTGTCATTGCAATTTGCACATTTGTAATCTGCGTTGTAGTCGTCAGCAGTGTGCTCGGTGCCGCTACAACTGGCGCATGTCTCGCGACCGCTGCAAGTGCGCGAACCATGTCCGTACCGCAGGCAACGAAAGCAGCGAAGAGGATTTGGGACGTAGGGCGTCACCTTACAGTTGATGTAACCGGCCTTAACAGAAGATGTCAAAATGTTCCTTTCGAAAGTCAATACAACGTGCTTAGGGGTGGACGATGGGTGGACACGGTGACCTTGATATATTGGATGGTTTCAAGGTTGAGTAAGGCCGTAGCTTGGTGTTTTTCATTCACATGTACGAGGAGATCGCCTAAAAAGATCTTCCTTGATTCAAATTTAGCTCCCAAGATGCCTTGAAGCACCTTAGCAACAGTGAATGGAGAAAGCTTAGAGAGTGATTTGGAGTTTTCGTCAGAGAGCAAGACGAAGAATTTTGTAAAAAGGTCACTTGAGTCATTTATACTAAGTAAATTGGACAGAGCTTCGGTGCGGACCCTTTTCAGGGATTGATCGGAGGTTTTCTGTGCTTGGAACCCATATAGATGGGAAAGGAAGTTCAGTGCCCGGGTGCACCGCCGACCACGGAGCCCAACCAGGGGGTAGGTAATGCGCCATAGCAAGAAAGGCTTGGCTGACACAATTACTCTACCAGTGCTGCCCGGGCAATATACCCTAGTGTGGTTGCAGGGACAGAACCTGTTTCCATTCAAGGTTGGCCCTTGCCGCCTAAGAAGGTGAAAAAGGAAAGAAGAAAGTTTAGAAGAAAAGAGAAAGAGGTGGGAGGAAAAGTGAAAGAAGGAAGAATATGTTAGAAGAGGCGACTGACTGAATCATCCTGGTCGGGCCAAGCCAGGACACCCGTCTACGAGACGCGGTGGCCGAAGCGGTGTATTGCCTCACCCGGGGGCTCCCGAAGGGTCCAAACACACCCCGGGCTCAGCTCAACCCACCAAGGTCCCCTTTTCCCCGAACTCGGGTTAAGCCACGCACAGCCAGGCGTGGGTGGGCGAACCCACATGGCACGGGGTTCATAGTGACGCCACTCACCAAGCACCTACTATAAAGTAGGTGCCTCCTGCGTGCGCGTAGGGTGGCCCACGTGGCTGGGGTCCGTGGTGACGCTACTCACCAAGCACCTAGCACCTAAGGTGCGGGCGCCCCCTGCGGAGCTCGGGATCCGTGGAGACGCCACTCTCCAAACACCTGCTTTCACAGGTGCCCCTGCGGGGTGTACTCAACTTACGCATTCATCTGGCTTGAGAACAACTTGAGCGTTGGCTCGGGTTAGATGTCAGCTGCCCATTATGTTTACGCGAATTTCACAAAATCCGCCCAATTGACCGAACAGCCTCTTGACTACTGCTGTCAGAGCGTTTGACTGAAATGATGTGGTTTTCTGATTTTGACGACTTCAAAATCATGGGTGTACCACCGCAACACCCTTTACACACGATTTCGGTACCGCAGGGTGTAAAACAAATGTACGAAGGGTGTAGGCCTTTCCGTACAGCCTTCAATGTTCAAAACTCATCTAATAATGGTTTAGGAAGGGTGTGAGCTCGGAAAAACACCCTCTTAACACGAACATAGGTGTTGACATTTAAGTGTGCCGTTGCAAAGTGTGACTGTCTAGTCAGTGTCGCAACCACTGCAACCTGACCCGAGATTTTCAACGAAGTCGTTCGAGCTCAAGACTCGTCCCAGTTAACGAATTGGCGCGCCAGCCGTTGACAGCAGAACTTCGGGGCCCCAAGTGCCCGCGCAGATTTGTCTCTCGATGCCCAAGGCCCCGGCTGAGAGGAAAGACCCACGGGCAATGACCCGCCATGGGAGATATAAAGCTCCGCTCGTGGTAGAAGGAACAGGTTAAGGCACGTGCAAGCACTCAAGCTAAACGGATGGCCACGCATTACCACAAAATACCGATAAACTAAAACAAAACGCCGTCTCGGCTGCGCGCGATAATTGCGACCACCTTTACAAGTGGCATTAAGGTGAATGGTAGCTGGTCGCGGGCCCGGTTTCCCAGGCTTTTCTATTAGAAACATGTTCGTTTTTAAAGTCGTTTCTGACTCCGCCATGTCATTTAGAAGTTGACACTTGCTGTACGCGCGTTTCTTAGACACTGCTTCCTCATTGGCCCTAGTTTCGTGCCTCAACGGCAGCAATAACATCTTTATAAAGGCGTTGAAGCGGGAGATCTCTCGCGCTTTGTCCAAGCCAGCGTCCACCAAGGTACCAGCAGACGCTCCCAACAAAACACAGGAGAAAGAACGTGCGCACAAGCCCCATGCGAACGAAACACTTTTTGTTTTAGTTGCGCTGGTTGGACGGCGGAGACGCTGTCGGCTGTGGCTACTCAAGCGCGCACCGATAGGACCTTCTCTGGTCGATCGCATCGCAGCTTTCGCCGTGTTGTGTATCCTTCTCACCTATATACAAATATCTTGAACCGTGGTCCTTCCCCAAATTCAATAATGGGCGAAATGGAACAAATATATGTCAGTTTAATTGTATTCATGTTTATGTAGTGTGTTTGATGACAGAGAGTCAAAGTCTTGGAAAAAGAATCAATATTTTCAGCATACCATTTTATTTCAAGGATATCGCAACGCATGGATTTTTTATTAATCCTCACGTGCAACTTTAGGCAGCTTATTTTTGTTAGGTTGTACAATCAGGAGTGTAAACTTCAATCTTATTTCCTGCGCAATATTTTTCAAACTTTTCTTTGCAAGGAGTTGGCGGATCCGAGCTTGCAGCACTTTCTAACAGTAGCAGGTCACAGAAGAGTCCTGAAAATAATATTTGAAGGTTAGCAGCTCATTTTTTTTGCAATGTTGGTTTTTATCTTTTATAGGGGTGCGTATTGTGTAAGGAAGCCTACCGACTAAATACCGATAGCACAAATCTTTAAAAAGAAAAGTGTTCCTGTGAAATGTCTTCAAATTTTGATGGAAATGTTTGCGTTCGTCTCTTAAAAAAGCACTACCACCCCTAAAGTTTTTTTTTTATGTCTGAACCAGTGCAAGCTGATACCGCAACGGGACAAAAAATTTCCCCACGCGCGCGCACGCCATTTAATTTTTGTGTTTATCTCTCTCGCTCCTCAGCTCCTCGCACCTATTAAATTGTAATGTCAAATAGTATAAAATTTAGAACCTTTTTAAGCGACATTTCTATGACATGTAATAACGGCATTCATAAAACACGTTTTTTTAACGCACTTGCGAACGCACTACGGCCCTTTTTTTTTTTTGAAATACCGAAAATCGGAGTCCGCAGTGATGTCGCCCCCTGACTTTTCATCCTCCCTCGGAAAACATGGCGGCGCTCGACGCATGTAGCCGAGGATGATCGCTGAGTTGAGGGATCGGACGAAGTTGTTTTTTTTTAGGTACTTGACGACCTCTAAGACTTCAAAAAGAAAATTGTCAAATGGCCAAAACAACTGGGTTGGTGTCTGTGCACCGTGATTTCAGTTTCTATTCCGCCGAGGCAGCCTTTCACGCAGCAACGGCACGACGTGGCCCCTCACGTCGCTCACAAAAGTCTACTGCGCGTTCTCTTCAACCTCGCACTGTTTAAAATAATTTAAGATCACTAAAAGGGTTCTAAAAGAACTTCAAACTCGAAAGTGAGGCTACGTCTGCCAGCAGACGGTTGTTCGCTGGACGCCGGCGAACACGACTATTCGGGTGGCGGCGGTTCGGATCGGAGGCGTCGGAGAAACTCGACTCGCGTGGGGGCTCAATATTTGACGTCACTGCACTCGCACGAATCGCGCGGCAATTCCAAATTCGGAATTTTAATTATTATTATTTTTTTTTACAGATACTGAATTTTTATGTCTCGAATTTGGAGGGTAATGCCCAAAAATCATCACTCGTTTCAAATAAAAAAAGGCTCATTTTGACGTGTCAGTGCCCATTTAACAAATAAGAACATCATGATGGTACGTATAGCTTTAGTATGTAAAAACACGAATCAAAGTCTAAAAACGCCCAATAAACGCAAATAACTTCTGTAGTATATTTCTTTTATTAAGTAGAACATGCCGCTGTTTTGTACAAAGAATATTCACCTCAATTAGCATTGGAGCTAAAACATTGTCAATTACATTATTTATATTACTAAATGCATATGCGAGTTCCCACAATTTATTCATTTGTTAAGTTTAACTTTCGCGATGCCCTTAATTAGCCCGTTGTCTGAGTGCCACCGTTAGTGGTACATTCGATGCATCGTACATATGCAGGGTGAAACAAGAAGACGCCAGGCTCTTTAAATCGACCGGAAAATTCGGTTTCTTAACCTGTCGGTCTACGACTTTGTGCAGCGTTGCCCACAGATGGTGCATCTTTTTTTTGTAAAATTTGCGAACAGCGAACTTACCCGAGGAAAAAGTAAAGAAAGAAAAAGGCTTAGCTCCTATGGAAACGCAGCGACGCCACCGGTCTTCAAACAACACGGCGCCGTTTTGCACGACAGACAAGAGATGGCGCAAGCGGTCGCGACGCCAACTGCTGCCAACGAACGAGCAGACGACGCCGAGAACCGGCGTTTTTAGCAGACAAGGAACTGCAGTTGCTTGTTGTTACCGCGCCTGTTTTTGTTTCTGCAACTGTCGCCGTTTGCGGAACGCGCGCCGCTTTTGAGTCGAAAAGATCGTCTGCTAAAAAGGCCTGCTCTCGGCGCCGTATACTCGTTCGTTGGTGGCGTTTGTTGCGCCATCTCTTGTCTCCCGTGCGAAAGGGCGCCGTGTTGTTTGCAGACCGGTGGCGTCGCTGCGTTTCCATAATAGCTAAGCCTTTTTCTTTCTTTACCTTTTCCTCAGGTAAGTTCGCTCTTCGCAAACTTTACAAAAAAAAAAAAAAAACACCATCTGTGGGCAACGCTGCACAAAGTCGTAGCGCGATAGGTTAAGAAATCGAATTTTCCGGTCGATTTAAAGAGCCTGGCGTCTCCTTGTTTCACCCTGTAGAACTAAAAAAAAAATGTGGATTTTATGTAGGATACAAAACTTTTTACTAGTTTTTTATGAATAAATTTTGACTATAGTATATCCATGCATTTCGAATATTGTCGTGTGGCAAAAGCTATGGATAAACTAGGGGTGGGCGATTAGTTGAATATCGAATTATAAAACCGATTAATGATTGTCCGAATAATCCGATTCAATTTACATATTCCTTGAATTTGGGTTTTCGAATATTGAGACACATGGAATATCAGTACCGCAGGCAAAAATCTTGGTTTATTGAGGAACGCTGTTCAAACAGTAAAACAGTCCTGAATGACCTGTTTTGTATCTAAATCAAGCCTGAATTCAAAAGCTGTGACTAACGAACCATTTCGGCAGAAAGTGTCTTGTTTTTTTGTGTCCCTCGAACAAAGCAGTGATGCTCTCAGTTTCTTGAATGGGCTTGACGAAAACCCGTAAACTACGCGTGTCGCCATTTTGAATTCAATAATTTTGCGTTACTTGCAATGCACCTCTCGGTATTCCATTCCCATTATAAGTTCTTACGCCTACAATATAGCAAATTAATATTAAAATACAAATACCACCAATAACTGAATCGGCCCCTTCCGTTTACCCGTTGCTCCCCGCGGCATTGAGCGTGGTGTCACGGTAAGTGACGCAAGATGTCACCCAATTTAAACAGTTCAGCTGTGTCTTAAAGGGAAGCTGAAGCGGTTCTGTATTTTAGAAGAAATACCTAAACCGTCTTTATCTGGCATCTAGGATTACGAATATCAAGAAGAGATGTCCGATTTATGTGCCAAGTAGCCAGAACAGCACATTCAAAATAGCCCCGAAGCTTTTCCTTCCAAGCGCGTTCGGTGAGAGGAAATATCGTGACGTATTATGCAGAGAAATCAACATCTCCGTACCTTCCACAAGTCTGAACCAAGGAGTCAAAAACGCTGCAAGCATTCCGTTACAAGCAGCAAGCGCAAGGCAGTTGAAACCTCTAAGTCTGATGTCACGGCCACCGGTTTTTTTTCGGGCTTTTTCGCATTTCTTGATGTGTTCGGATCAAATGCTTGTGATATTCAAATTCACAGTACAAAAATACGCTAGAATTCACATATAACTCGTTTTTTTTTTTTTGGTTCACATCTTCAGCTTTCCTTTAAGGTTGCCGTTTAAGTGTGGTCATTAAACCGTTTCATTCGTGCAAGCATTTTTGTTCTGCGTAATCTGTAGCAGAACAAACATGCACGCCTCTTTCCCATGAATGCGAATATTTTTATGAAAAAAAAAGTTTTGGTATTTTTTATTGATTTGTCATTTGGCTTTTTGATCAATATTAGGTACTGGTTGATTCTAACTCAATTCGAGCTGAAATTTCACTATTCGCACACATCTAGCATTAACTTCTAGAGTCCGAAGAAAATCCATCGGTTCAGAGAGTATTAACTCTAACTGAAATACTGTATCCGACAAAGCATACTTCTCAAGAGTTCTAGGTACAAATCGGCTCTTTTTTCAAGACTGACGGAATTTCCCTAGGAATGTGCGCTGAAATGTCCTACACCGAAAAGTACGCGCACCAAAACGTTCGTGCACCAAACTGTCTGAACCAATAGTCCGCGCGCTTAAAAGTCCGAAACGCCCTACACCGAAACGCCCTACACCGAAACGTCCTACACAAAAATGTCCGGATCCTGGATGGCGGGGAAAGGGAGGGTGGGGGGGGGGGGGGGGGGGTGTTCTGGCTGAGATACTACGTGACGGCCGAAACGTCCCCAGATCTGTTTCGTTAACCCACTATTTGCTGTCGCCACAAAATGAACTTTTCGCAAATGTACATCTATTTTCTCATAAAAGAGAAAAAAACAGTTAACCTCGGCGTGATCGCGCTGGCGCTGGCGCCGTCTGTGGAGTAGCCTGAGACACTTGCAATTTTCATATCGTGGGTTGGGAAAGCAGCTACGTAGGCTGTCCTTGGCTGGTTATGGCAGTTATTTTGTATCTTCTATTATCCTTCGGTTGCTAAAGCGCAGTGATGTCAGAAGAGCTGACGCAGTTGATAAGAGAAAGGTTGTCTCTCTTCCGTATTTCCATGACCTGTCTCAAACCTGAAGGCCTTCAAAGGAAACTTGGTATTACTTTACTTTTTAAACACAATTTTTCTCTGAACAGATTAACTTTCTTTTTAGCGGAGGGGAGTAAGTGGCTGTAGTAAGGATCATAGGGAACCTTCAGGGAGTTGTGATCTTGGTGTAGTTTACAAATTTCCGGTAAAGTGTGGCTCTTGCTATGTAGGCCAGTCTGCTAGGTTCATAAACGACCGACTGTGTGAACACAACAGAGCTGTTAAACATCGGAAAGAGGCTTCCGAGTTGGCCAAACACATGTCCAAGTGCGTTGAATGTAGTGTTGTGCAAGACACTGAGATTCTATGTAAGCAAAGAGACGCCTGTAAACGTCTTGTAAAGAGTCGTCGATGATTTACTGGAATAGGGGATTTTTTCACCAATATGTCCGTTGCACCTGCCGACACAATTAAGATGTTTCTTAGCACTTCGATTTTTTTAGGTACTTTGGACTAAGTGTCCTCAGGTCGGCTGCCGGCCGGGGGCAGGGGGTGTAGTTGAAGTGCTCATCTTGTTGGTGTCTTAGTGTTGGTTGCCTGCCTTTAGCGAGTGCTTTGAGTCTTCCGGGGCTTTGTTGTGTCCTAAAAACTAGTGTCCTCTTGTCGGTCGTGTGACCTCAGTCAGCGTGTGTCTCCTAAAGCGATCCAAACCAACACGTTTTTGTGCGCGCGTAGGTCATGCACTTCCCGGAAGTTGCGTATTTTGTGAAGTTTTTGCTGTTTCCGTTGCGCTTTCTGAGTCACAAGCATGAGCGTTGGTTAGGACGGTGCGCTTTTGGGCGAGCGGAGGGCATCTGCGCCAGACGGCGAAGAAACGCGGAGCCAGAACTGGTGCCCTCCACCGATAGGCCGGGGGTTTACGCGCACGAAAACGCAGCGCGTTTTCGTGCGTGTTCAGGAAAAGTTGAAATCATCCAACTTTCTAATGCGCGCCCGGAAGGTGCAAGGAATTAGCGCGGCGTCACGAAATACGCAATTCCCGAGAAGCGCACGACCTGTGCGAGCACAAAAAGGTGTTGGTTTGGATCCTGCTTAAGAGCTTGTGGGCCTATTTAAGGATCCGGTCTGGCAAATAATTCTTTAGCTGCATTCGGAGTTTCGTTTCTGAATGTCCTTTTTTTTCCCCCGCTCCAGGGTTACCGTGTCTATCCTTAACCAGCTCGCCTGCCTAGTTGCTGTAAGTTGACACTACTTATTTCGATTGCACTAAAGCTCTTGATCTTGCAGATCATACGTTGTTACTTGCCAAACTCTCAGCATTGGGCATGACTAGCCTGTTTTGCAATTGATTGTCAAGTTTTCTTGGTGGAAGACCAAAACAGTGCTTTATGATAGGTGTTTTTCCACCTTGTACGTTTTAGAAACTGGAGTGCCTGGGGTGTCCTATTTTAGACCACTGTTATTCAACATTTTTGTGCTGCAAATTGCAGATGATGTAAACTTTATCGCGAAGTTCATGAAACTGCTGACTGCCAGATGACGCAAGACGATATTAAGGAAGTTCTATATTGGTGCTTGAAAAATAATTTGGTACTTAACTCCAATGAGATCAATGTTGTTTCCCCTACCAGACAGAGAAGCTGAATTGAATGCCCGTATACCATGTTAGGTTCAGCTATCACGAGGTTGGTACACTTCGTGATCTGTCATGACCTGTCGTGACGTATCATGTGCTAGGGGGCGTTATTTCCCGATTGACGGGAATTGCTGTACTTCCGGTAGCATAATTTCGCACCCTTGTTTTGTCCAAACTAGAGTTTTGCTCAGTCGCATGAAACACCACTGGAACGACGCTATCGTGTATTTTAGAAAAGGTGTCGCGTCGACTCGTGCGTATTGTTTGTGCCAGACGGGTTTAGAGGTGCATTCAATTTGATTATGAAGACCTACTTAGTTTGCTTGATCTTGTACCCTTGTACGAAAGAAGATTAAAGCGAGACTGTATTTTTGTACAAGATAGTGAGCGCTGGGCTGCATGTACTCTTGCTTTTAAGTGGAATTACTTTTGTGTCCCTCTGAAGTGTAGATCTTTATTTATTTTTACCCGCATTAAGTTGGTGTCCTCTCCCTTATGACACGTGTATAGCTTTTTTAAACTAATAGTGGGAGTCATTTAGACTTTAACCAGAATTAATAAATAATTAGTCTTCCACGCGTTACTCTTTTCTTATTGGCTCGACTATTACTTTACAGGGTTAAGAGCCATTTCTCACAAATTTTGTGACCCTTGTGTATTGTTTTTAAGACAAAGTGAAGCACGGAATTGATGATAATTAGGCAAAATTGGGACACAGTGTGCCCTAAGCACGAACGAAGTCGGGCAGCGTGATGCTGTTTATGACGAAGCCCCTGCTGAAACTTTCGATTAGGAAGTACATTTGATCTCGGAAATACTGCAAAGCCATTCCTCTAGTGAAATACAGTTCAAGTGTCATATCAAAAATGGCGCGAGCGTGCCGCTCTACTCCCTCGTCGTAAGAGATCACAGTGTGCCCTAAGAAAAACGTAGACGGGGAGCTTGGTCTTGTTTATGACGAAGCCCTTGCTGAAATTTTCCACCTGGAAGTTGAATGTCTTAGGCAAGCTAAAAGGACATCGTTGCACGCATCATTTTACATTCAGATATATGTTTAATGTTTATAACCGAGCCCGATATATACGCATTGCGCGTATTTATTCTCTTTATTTTGATGTGTCTCGCATTTTCGCTGTACTTGGTATTATACGTCGTTGCGCATACACTAACTTTGACTATAGCGAAATCGTTGACTGCATATTGTAAACAAATTGAACAACTCAATACATTCTAGACTTAATATCGAGTTTATAACGCGTTACAAGCCAGCAAGAAGCATGAGCTTACCTCCACCTTTTTTCGTTATTCTTATAATTGAACAGTCCTCGTAGTTAGAGTAGAGAAGCTTGTGTTCTTGTAGACCATCAACTGAAAAAAAGTATAACCTTTACGTTTAAATTATGTTCTATTATTTCTGATAAAATCGCACAACAGTCTTGTTGTAAGTACAGCCGCTTTGTTGGAAATTCGCGAGACCTAGTGTTAAAGAAAGTCTTCAAATTTCATATGCCGAGATATTTGTACATGTGTACATTTTTATATTTTTGTTGTTAAGTTCTTGTGTATCCCTAATTAGTACTTTATGCTCAGAAACATTAGTTCTGTCCGCTAAACTGCTTCTCTAGGTATTACCCCCCCCCCTGGTTTCATATTTCAAGTTCTCAATAAAAGGGAAAGGGTTCGCGAGTATGCTGTATAAGGAATGATTTCCATGATGTGATACTTATTACCAATTCGCTGGATTACGATATAAAATAAAGGTTATGTCATGGCAATTAAAGCGTAATTGTTTTAGTTATTTTAAATGCTTGAATACTTATTAGAAAAAAACATGCAGCGAGAACATCTATGGAGGTATCTTGTGTTTTATTCCGTGAAATGTAATCACGATTGAGCGAAACAATCTTTTGAACCACACGGTGTATCCTTCTTATCTCAAGCAAGCCGCATCTTGAGTTTCCTTGTGTTTTGAAACACTCAATGCCCCCTTTCCGAGTTTCGTGTTATAAATACAAATAAAAACCCAGTTAACAAAGTCCCGGCCTCTTCGGAGGAGCTATAAATATTTACTAAAGTCACGTTGTACGGAAATCGTGATTGCATTTACATGTTTTTCCAAACACGGCACTCGCCAAACTTATGTTTTAGAACAATATTAGAACATTGATTCTTCAGTTCTGTGCCTATTAAAACACTACATACGCATGTGACTTTTAAGCTACATTTTATATGCAGGCTGTCCAACCGGTTCTTAATCCGGTTCGATTCAGGTTAGGATTCAGTAACTTTTCGTTTTGTTGCGGTTCGGCTCCAGTTTAGTGACGCATTCGAAATATTGGTTCAGTTACCAGCTTCACCAAGCGAGAACAGGTTCAAACCTGTTCTTTACTCTACCTAAAACATTATCACCTGTGCGTTTCCCGACTAAACAAAACAAAAACAAAAACAAAAAGTTCAAAGCTCCCTTTCATTAAGAAGAAAAAAAAAAGCGTGTCCAACAAAGTGTCATCTGCATTAAAATTTAGAAACAGCTAGTTATTTAAAGCCGCGGTGCTGAGAAAACAAGAACAGCAAACAAATATCTGCTTAACAATTTAATTTCCTTATCCTAAATTTTTTAAACACTAACATTATTCTATACAAATAGCTTGGTGATGCAGGCGCTCTGAAGTAGTGCTCCCGTGTAAGCTAATATCAGTCAGAACGCAGAGTGACACGCTGGCACTATATTGTTACGAATGACAATCGATGAGGCGACGAAAACTGAAACAAACAGCGTTTAACGCGGTGAACTTGCATCTTAAGCAAAAAGGAAACAGAAGATAACAATGCCGCGTCGCGAGCGTCGATGGCGGCGTAGCGGCAAGATCGTACGCAGGGGCGAGACTGACTCCGGCTTGCCTCGCGAAGCACTTTTTGTAGCCGCGTGGGTTTCTGGAACATTCGGCCTAGAAAGTTCAACGCGTAGAATATTCGTAACTCGATCAGACGAAAAAGTTCTCGAAGTTTTCGAGTACTCCAAGCAGAAAGAATAAATAAAAGAGCATTCCGCTCTCTGGAATCGAAACCAGAACGTCTGCGCAACAAATAAGCACGGTAACCATTCGGCCACGTACGCTCTCGCTCAGCGACCCGCGTGGCAATATAGCATGCATTGTACTCGCAAATTATTCTTTCGAGCATCTGGTGACAAAGTTCAAAACTAGAAAGACAGAAAAAAAAGCAATCAAAAGCTGATTCTAACAGAAAAAAAAGAGAGAAAGGAACGGGCAGCATGCCGCACTCTAAACACACACACAAAACAATATTTTCCAGAGTGCCGGACGAGTGGCGCCCCGGCGACCGGCACCTCAGCCTAGTGTCGCGACTTGAACCTCTCGCGGCTTTGCACCTCCGGTTTTTGCCGCCGCAGAAGAGACACACGCTGATAGCCGGCAATCTTTTTAATGCGTTAGCATCAGAACGCTCATTTTCACGACTAGCCGGCGGTGTCTTATGTCTGTCAGTGCCGGCGAGAGAGGGAGAAGAAGGGGGAGAGGGCGACGCGTGGGACGCACCCATTGGTCCGATGCTCTGACGTCCGAACGCGTCAACCTCTTCCTCTTTCCCTGGCGCACAGAAATTGACAGACACCACCGGGTTTTCGTCAGAACGAACCCTTTCGTTTTCGGCAAAGTCACGTGCACAGCTTGCGCGGAGCCATGCGAGGAGGAGGCACCGCGCAACACCTCCTAGATAACAAAGCCGCAGTCCTGAATGAGGGAACTTAATCACAAAAGGGCAGCGCTGGACACAGATTGAAACGAATGCTGCGCCAGCGCTCGGCTTCGAGTCAAGTTTGAGCCGAACGTTGACACAATCGTTGTGTTTTATCTCTGCCCGGCGTTGGCCTTGGCTGATGACGACTTCTCATTCAGCACTATGGCTTTGTTGGCGTGCTCAGTTTCCGCTCTGCCGTCGCCGCTTGTTCTCCGCTCTGGGTTTCCGTAGTAGATTTGCGTGGGCTCTGATGTGAGTGCGTAGTTAAAACAATGAATGCGGTTCACTTCACAAGTGATATAAGTGAGATTCCTTTCACGAGTGATCTAAATTTCTACGAGTGATATGAATGACCGTATCCAAGGGCGTCGACCTAAACTGACAGGCAGAGTAGAAAAAAGAGGAGAAATAGATTACAGCAAGATCCATTGATGGATTCGTAGGGAACCCGTTGGCATGACCCTTGGGAAACGCCACACACGTCCCGTTTCGGGAAACCCTAACACTGACCCCGTAACGAGGCTAAAAAAAACGCAGCAAAAATAGAGGGAAAAACAAAGAAAGCCAAAAGAGAAAGGTGAAGGGGTCAGGTTAGCGTTTCCTGAAGGCTGACGTGTGTGGCGTTTCCAAGGGTCGTGCTAGCGCATTCCCTGAGAATTCACCAAAAGATATTTCTGTAATTTTTGTTTTGACTTTTATGTCTGGTTTCTTCTTCTTTAAATAGCACTGCTTTGACCTTTTGCACTTTATGATACACCGCAGAGGACAAAAGTCATTGAAAGCCAATGCCGTGTTGTGGGAGCGTCATGTGACCTTCGGAAGAGACGCAGGGACGCGCTGAATGTGGTACAATCAGAGCGCGGGATTGGTGGGGGTACATACGTCAGCTGCCCTCGATGGCAAAGTGAAACAGAGTAGAGCAGCCAAATGCAGGAACTCGAGCATGTACGCACGCTTACACGCACTGAGGTTAACCTCTTCGCATAGTCAGGTAGAAGTATTCTAGACCGACAAGCAGGCACCAAGTCCTCCTGCACTCATTTTGTATTTTTCATCAGTACATCGCAAGCTTGAACTTAGTTCTGCTTTTTTTTTTTTTAAATTGTATTTGTAGTGCAAGACAAGCAAAAATCGAAAACGTGCAGAGACGTTTCTTTTATATTATTTATGATTACTACATTGGCCGATGTGTTTATTATGAGTATAACAGCCTCTTACGACGATTTGGTTGTACTATACTAAGCCCGAGTAAAGGCACCATATTTTTTAAAAGTAGCGCAAGGTGCGTCGATGCAAGAGGCACTTGCAGCCTTTGGGAAGATCATGGTGGTACAGCGCAGCACTGAGCTACATTTCAGACGACATGTTTTTACCAGAAGAGGCTCGTGGCACGTGTCTCCAGCAGTTCCACTACAATGAATGGCGCCACTTTTATCAGGATAGAGGGGCTTCAAGCTCGATATGACTTGAGCGCCATCTAATGTTTTTTGTATAAATGCGTTCATGGTCGAATTGATTGTTCAACTCTCACATCAGCTCCTAATATATATCTACCGGGAGTTGTTTTGACGGTAAATCCCACTTTTTCAATTAAAGTAATTAACCTTTCCATTCCGATGAACCGCATCCAACATTTTTATAACACGTTCAGTACAACCTGCATTGACATTTTCAACTAAAGTGTTAAAGCGTTTAGGCGTTCAATGGCTGATATTTAACTGTTACCTATTTCCTATTCCCCCATAATAGATATTAGCTGTTGCACGTGACTTAGATTTCTTTTGTGTGCCCCTTTAGCGGGAAAATTTTCCGCTAGGTTTAGCGGAAATCTTTCTTCGATAAATTTAACGGAAAAATTTCCCCGCTAAATTTAGCGGGGACAACTCCCATAATGCAACGCACTTGGTTACGCCGACGCCCATGGCGACGCCGACAGCGACCTCGTTCAACCCAGACACGGGCACCTAAGAGCTGCGCTCTAAAAGCGGGGAAGGCATTTTGACTCTAATGCTTGCTCATGCTCATGCCCGAGCGTTGTGCGCTGAGCTAGCACATGGCAGGGCACGACCTGTATTGGACGGCCAGATTTGCCTAGTTTCAGGGTTGGGCAGTATCGCGATACAAATGTATCTCGATAGTATTTCAGAAATACATTTTGTATCTGTATTTCTGTATCGCGATACATTTTTGTCACCAGTATCTGTATTCCTGTCACGAAATGCTATTGAGATGTTACTTTGTATTGCGATACAATCAAGATGAAATGTATTTCGTTACATTTCTTGAGAAATACCCCCCCACCCCTCAAAAAATAAAAAATCCGAACGTTTTTTTTTTGTTTTTGTTTTTGTTTTTTTACTTCTGGAGGGCGCGAGGGTCAGCTAGATACTGGGGCATTGTGACTATGCTGACCAAGGTTCCTTCCGATTCTCCAAACTATTTTTCTATGCGTGTTCTTCTCTCTTCTGAGAAGTGTTGCGTAGTCGGGGACTCGAACCAGGTGGCGTGCCAGGAGTGGAGTCAGAGCATCTTCTGTCACATGCCGTATCCAACGCCCGCTGCTAGGCGTCTCTCTTGCCTCGGCGTACACAGTACACGCAGCCGGCAAA